GAACTCGAAGAATGGGCATCAAGCTAACATTAATATCTTGGATGCAAGTTAAGGTTGTTGAGGTAAAACTAGTGAAGCCTCTTTGGAATAGCTTTAGCTTCTTGTAGAAGACAAAAGGTTGATTTGGATAAGTTTTTTGTTTTTTGAAGAAGAGTTTTTCGAGAAAGTTATTTTATGTCAGCTCTTTTATTTAGACAACATTTCTAGAAAATTATTCAAACATCTTCAAAATATGTCCCGAATATTCGTGGTTTTTCTCGCCCCACTATTGGTACCATGTCTCATCAGACGAGCCAACTCAAAAGCAGGCTGCGTTGGACTAAGTTGGGATGATTCTCTAGGCTAATTTTAGTATCCTTAAAATTAAGGGTCTTTTGATAAATTGTATGAAAAGTTTTTTTGAAGTAAAAAATATTCTGTAGAATTAAAAAAGTGACACAATGTCAGTTTTTTTTTATAAAGTTAGTGCCACTTTTATATTAAAAAATGACATACGATCTCATTTTTATTAACAAGTGATATTTTTCACAAAAAAAAAGTGAAAATTTTCAAGAAAACGATTGAAAAAAAATTACAAACACTAAAAAAAGTAACAGAAATTTTAAAAGGCGATGAATATAAAAAAAAATGACACAAATTAAAAAAGTTACACAAAGTAAAAAAAGTAACGGATAATAAAAAGTGCCAAACACCTAAAAAGTGACAAAATAAAAAAAAATGCCACAAACTCAAAAAAGTGATAAACGGTGAAATAGTATCATCCATTTATGTAGTACCAATAATCACGTTCTTAACATAATTAGCCACAAAACCTCATCAATATACATTTGACACTATTTTATAAATAGTCACAAGCCTCAAAAAGCATTCAAAAATTAAAAAAAATTATTTCAATTGAAAATGTTCTTCTAGTTTGCTTTACAACCTTCTTTAGGCAACAATCTAAACACACTTTAAGAGGATGCTTAGTGGGAATTAAAATTAGATTTTTTTTAGTAAATTGTGATAGAAGTTTTTGAAATATGTGGTTTAAAAGTTGTGAGATCCATGAATGATGTGGTTAATATTGATTTTTTTTTTTTTTTACTTTGACTTAAATCAAAATCAGATTTTAATGAAAACCAAACATAGAATAAATTTTTTTAGCACATTTGCCCTTCAATAGTCCTTGTTCTGCTTGTCCAGCAGCTTCTTTATATGAGTCTTTTACATTCATGGATTCTATAGCAACTCAAACATATCTCTCGTTTTCTCTAAACACAACTCAAATTCATGGATTTTAGAGCAACTCAAACACAACTCTCGTTTTCACTTACTTCCAACTATATTCATTCTTCAATTCTGATCGTGGCCCCACACATTTCTCTTTACAAAATTCTTTCACTACCTCAATTTTCACCATTCATTCACAACTCTTCCCCACCCCCCACCCCCACCCACCAGTTCCAATTCTCTCTCCAGTTTTCAACCAAAATTCAATCATATCTGCTAGAAAGCAAAAATAGATGCTTGTCTCTCTTCAAAATCACTTGATTGGCAAAACCCTTCCACAAATGTTGATCACTGAATGGAGAATTGCGGCAATTTTCAATTTCTTACAATAGTTGCTAAGGTTCTGGAATAAAAATAAAATCAGCATTAGATTCATTCATTTGCAACTCTGATTGCTTGTATTTCAACGACTACATACCTGCTTTAGCACCAGAAGAAGCACTTGAAGAATCTCAGTATATTTCGTGTTACCAAAAACCAAGCTTCAGTATTATTTGACAGCATCCGATAAAATCTGATAAATCTTTGTTATTGTAGTTTGAAGGAAACCTATATACATCATAAAGAAACCTGTGCAGTGCTCATCGCACTGGCACTGCCTAATAGTAAACAATCTATCAATTGTTTAAAAACATGTTCTCTCAAGTACAGCATTTTTTTTTTTATTTTTTATATTCCAATTAAACCAATGTCAATCTATGGTTTTACAGCTTATTGCCCACAAGAAAGCAAGTATAATTTATTCTGAAAAAATAAAATATTGACAATACAATTAAACAAGGTGTGAAATAAAATTAAAAGGCGATAACTTTGGAGTATTCTAATGTTTCTTGTGATTCGGGCTTTTTAATTTACTCTTACAATCATGAATTAAGCAACAGAATCATACTATCCAACAAGCAAGAAAATCATATACAAATTAAAATCGTTCAATTAGAGAATAAAAACAAATAACCCAACATATTAACTGGCCAAAAAAAAATAAAAAATCAAAGGATTACTGTGTGCGCCCGAGAGCTTACAGCATGAAAAGGAAGCAAATAACGGCTAAGCAAGAGATGAAGATTACTATAGAAGAGGAAGCGAGTCAGTCGAAACTTCAATTGATCATGTATATAAAATTTTTAGACGACGAGCGGAGGTTCTCTATTGAAACCCATATCATTTTTGTAAGTTGATGAGGGTTTGTTATCTGAAATTGAATTACGTTTTGGGGTTGGGTCTTTTAGGACGTATTAATACGTTGTTAGATGATAATTTAGTTTAAATCTTGTATTATTCAATGTGAAAATTACATAAAACTAGGTATTTAAAAGTTCAAATTCAAAGTTCAGGGATGAAATTTATCTATGCAAGCATAGGTATTATATATAGTTAATTCAACCAATTCAATTAAAAGCCCTAATCAATTCCCCAATTCAATTCCGTCACTTCCTTTCTCACTCTACAATCTCTTCCTTCTCTCTATAACAAATCGCCACAAGAGATCAGTCACCGACGACGCCGATTCCGATGTGATACCGGAGCCACTGCAAAGAAGAGTGGCGGAGGCTACAAAAGGCGCAAGGTTGACCTTTGCCCAGGAACGCTGCTACTGCGCGAAGATGAGCCGGAAGTAGACGCTGCTGGAGATACGTCTTGCTCGGATTTTTGTAAGCCATAGCTCAGAGCAGCGCCTGGGACTGTGCTCGTCGCGATGCCTTCGAGCACTGATTGGGTTAAAGAGATGTTGTTTTGTGACGAAAGCTCTGTGAATAGCGTCGCTTCACAATGGGTTCAAATATGATGTGGTGGCTACCGTGTTGTGGTGTTATTATGTCCGGTGGTGTTTGTGGTGTGGTGTTGGTGTGATTTTTCGACATGTTTTATTGCGTTTTTTAGGTGGTGGTGGTGGACTTGTGGATTTTTTGGTAGGAGTGGTGGTTGGGTGTGGTGTAAATAGAGATAGAGGAAATGGTGGTGGTGGTGTGTTGTGGGTGGTGCGGTGATGGTGTGTTGTGGGCGTGACGATGTGGTGGTGTTATCGGCACGGTGGTGCTCATAATGGTGGTGGCAAGGGCAGTGATGCTCATATTGGTGAGGTGATGGTGGTTTTGGAGACAGTGGTGTCGAACCATTGTTGTGTTGTTGATGGTGATAATTGTGGTGACAGTGACGGGTGGGGGCATCTGTGACCAACTATTTAAGCCTCCATGACCAAAAATTAGATGTTTATGATCGATAAACTGTAACATATGTGACCCATAGATATAATATGACTTGCAATTTGAATGATCTGTGACCTCGAAATAATATGTAATGTTATGACTAAAAAAAATGTAAATTGGAAGTCAAGTTTTATAGATTCAGGGTTCTGAATATGCATTTACATGTTGAAATTTCACCAAAAATGTTAAATATTCAAAATTTGAAAGTTTGTTTGTTTTTGGGTGTAGATACAAAGCAGGAGGTCAAGATAAGAATATAATGACTGGTTTGTAATTTTTTTGAAAATTTGAGACTATGGATATAATTAACTCTTTATTTTTTCATTTCATTTCTTTTTGTTTTATTTGAATAGGAGTGTAAAATTGTCAAAAATAGATGAAAATGACCTTTTTGAGCGATAAAAGGCAAAAACAAGGGCGAAAATGTCAAAAATGGAAGATAGTGACGTTTTTCACAATAATATTGAAAAGTATGAACGTTTTGTACTATTTACTCTTGTCAAATTTATAGGGTCTATTAGGCAAAGCTTATGCTTTTTGCAGAATGGTTTCTTGAGGAAAAATCACATAAATGTCAACTTCTTCCAAAACTCCTTAATCAGACGAAGCGTTCTCAAAAATTTATCAAATTATTTTCAAAAATAGATTCTTAGATTCATAATCAATTTTTGACTTTTTAAAAATCATGTTGGATGAAGGAATTTTATTCAAATGACCAAAATGAAAGAGCAAAATAGCGTTCAAGGCCTATCATAAAATTTCACCATAAGTTGAGGGACTTATTTACCTTATCTTTATTTGAAATGCATTGACAAAACACTATTCAATGATAAAAATAGAAAACTAATCGGTACAAGAAACAAACGATTGTAAAATAAAAGTTACTTGTGATCAATTCTGAAATATCAATCTCATGCATGTCATGTATTATATTTTTTTATTTGTATTTCATGTATGTGAAATATTTTATGGGAGTGTAAGATAAAAGTCTATCATTTTTCCTCTCTTACTTGTTTTATGAATACGCTTTGAGGCGTTAAAGTAGTGTCTTAAGAGCATTCTATGAGCTCGTCGTATTCTTAGGTATAAAACATAAACATATATGTTGGGTTTTTTGATACCCAATAATCCGGACGATGATTTAAAGCAGTTGTCGAATTATTTATCGACACCATGAACTTGGCTCGGCTCGGAGACGAACTACACTTTTGGATGGTTCGGGGTTGGGTTGGATGATTATTTGGTTAGTTGGACCATTTAGTGATTAATATGGAGTTGAATATTAACCCATTAGTTTAGGTTAATTGGTAGCCCTTTTAGTGAACCATAGGCCCAATTGGAGTGACCTAAACTAACCTATATATATGTATTTATTTCCCAGCCATTTTTTGTGGTGTGTGTGTGTTGTAGTAATGGAGACGAGAGTTGAGAGAACAGAGGCAGCCGAGAGAGAAGGAAGCCATGTGAGGTTGTGAGTAAAATTCAACCATTGCGATATCTTTTACTTCCTCTCCATACCTTTGTGGATTGCTAATACCACCACCCTTCTCTTTTGTGGGGTTTGAGAGAGTTTGGACAGTTCAAAGTGAAGGCAAAAGTCTCGGGTCAGAGCCAAGGTAAACCGGTGTTCTTTTGATTGTTTTTTGAGTCTGGAATCAAGATTTATCGAAGGATTTCCGCTACATGAACAATCACGAGAATAACAAATCTCCCAATTCTCAAATGACAAATTTTCAAAATTTTAAAACGAATTCCACTGTATCGAATTTCTTTTGAAGTTGTCAACAGTGTTGCAAACAAGATACTAAAATCCTATATTAATCTTATTTCACAGGGAGGTATTAGCATGTTTGATCCCCATTTTAAGCTGCCTTTTTCGACTTATTTGTACAGTAACCATATGCTTACTTTTGCAAGCACGGCCAAACATGCCTTATTTCGTCACTCTTTATAAACACTCGAATGAAGTTTTGTTTCGAAGGAAAAATCTTAAGGTGTGCACGTCTATGGATCATTAAATTACTTGAATATTCCCTTAATCATATCTCTGTTAGTCTCAGGCACGTATATCTCTCCTACCGCGTCACAGCTAGGCTACATTGTAATCACTTCATTTTTCAAATCCTAAACTTGAACAAAATAGATATGTTGTCTCTCCGTCATCTACGTAAAGAAAATTATGCACGTATAAGACTTTTCAGTAAAGAAAAAGGAAAATGAATTTTACTTGTACTCGATGCGGGGTGTTGAAAATTACAGTTAAATGTACCATTTCTAAGAGCTTGAGTTGTTATATGACTGATTCTAACTTTAATGAAATTTAAAAGATTACTAATCCTCGTATCAATTGTAAAAAATTTGTTATTTTAACATTGTTGGTCAGAACTAAATCATTAAACTATGATCTCGAAATCCAGATATGATAGAAAACTATATATTATATTATGACAGACAACAAATTAAAGGGATCATGTCGGGAAGGCATTACTTGTTTGTTATAAGCTATATATAGACAATATATTGCAATAAAAAACGTACTAGAATTTGAATTTAGTCAAAATGACAAAATTTCTGTTTTTGTCCATGGCTTTATGCATCTCTGCCTTCGGATTCCATTCAAGTTTAGTTTATGGCACTTTCGTGAAGAATATGTACATAAACTGGGGTACTCGACATTCTGCGTTTCTGGGCAATGGAGACGATGCAGTACTCGTCTTGGATCGATATTCCGGTGAGTGAATTCTTCCTTTCATGCCTGTGTGTGCACTCATGAATGAACTTGTGTCGAATTTCGAAAAGTTTAAACTATTAGAGAAAGTATTTATTTGGTCTTTCGGAATTTTAGGTTCCTGCATGGTGTCGAATAAATCATTTCTATTCGGAAGCATCGAGATGCAAATAAAGCTAGCACCCGGGAATTCTGCCGGAACAGTCACGGCGTTCTATGTAAGTTCATTGCCTTTCAATTCAATAGTACCTGAAACTGCTCAATATGAAAACGATCGATTCATAATGTCATCTTTCGAAATTTTGGCAGCTATCTTCGACTGGTGACAAGCACGACGAGATCGATTTCGAGTTTCTAGGTAACGTATCAGGACAACCCTACACCGTCCATACAAATGTTTATACACTAGGACATGCTGGCAGAGAACAGCAATTTTATCTATGGTTTGAGCCACCTTCGCCACTTTCTTTGTGAATTTTTTGGTGATTGGAGTAACATTTGTGATCACCGAAAGGTGTTGATTTGCCATAGTAAGTTTGAGATGCATTAGCAGTGAGTTGAATGTCTTTTGGTAAGGTGAAGTATAGATGCCTAGATGTGCATTGTTGATATGCATGAGGGATGTAGAGTGTGATATTTGGATCACAAGTGGAGATGTGATCAAATGTGTAGAATCCTTTATCTGTGAAAGAGATCCTGTACAGGTGGAGTGTGAGAGAGACACTTCTATCACTTCTGTAAGGTGGAGTCTCATTATTTACGTAGGTTGGGAGAAGTGATGTGGTGATAGAGGATTATCCCAAGAGCTTAGGATTTATTGTGACTTCCCAATTAGACATGAGTTAAGTGACTGGTTTAGTGAGCATTGTTGGTGATGAGAGGAGATATGTGTTCTCGAGGTGGGAGTAACACCAAATGGGATAGGATAAGTGTAGTGAGTTCTTTCATGGGGTCATTTATGCATGTGTTGCATATGTGGTTGACTGTGGTTTGATTAACTAGGTGTTAATCTGTGGTTCTGTGTAAACGTGATTTTGAAAAGATCTGTGTGTGTATTATCCTATATATCTTCATCGCATGATTATTTGTTCATTGTGAATACTTGTTTCTACTTGGTTATTTTTTACCTTAGCCCTGGTGAGTGCATGAAGCAAGTATGGTATGTGTTTCGATTCAAAACACGAAGTAATGTCTGTTATTCCAATTTTATTGGATTACCTTGATTGTGCAAGTATAAACTGTGTGTTTTGGTTGCTTACAGATTATTGGGTATCAAGGTAGAGATTGTTGGATTTTTTGATACCCAATAATCCGGGTGATGATTTAAAATAGTTGTCGAATTATTTATCGACACCATGGACTTGGCTCGGCTCGAAGACGAACTATACTTTTGGGTGGCTCCGGTTTGGGTTGGATGATTATTTGGTTAGTTGGACCATTTAGTGATTAATATGGAGTTGAATATTGGCCCATTAGTTTAAGTTAATTGGTAGCCCTCTTAGTGAACTCTAGTCCCAATTGGAGTGACCTAAACTAACCTATATATATGTATTTATCTCCTAGCCCTTTTTTTTGTGGGGTGTGTGTGTTGTAGCAATGGAGAGGAGAGTTGAGAGAACAGAGGTAGCCGAGAGAGAGGGAAGCCATGTGAAGTTGTGAGTAAGATTCAACCATCGTGATATCTTCTTCTTCCTCTTCATACCTTTGTGGATTGCTAATACCACCACCCTTCTCCTTTGTGGGGTTTGAGAGAGTTTGGGCAGTCCAAAGTGAAGGCGAAAGTTTCGGGTCGAGTCGAGATAAATCGATGTTCGTTTGATTATTTTCTGAGCTCGGAATCAAGATTTATCGAGGGATTTTCGCTACAATATATTTTCTATCATTACAGGTTTTCATCTAATATATACATTTGTTTATTTATTTTTATTTTTATTTTTAAAAAAAGGACGAATTAGGTGGAGTACATAGACTCAAAAACATTGTGCATGTGTTGTACATGATTAATATACCTATACGCTACTTGTCAATTGGACGACTAATGACATTGCGTAAAAAATGCAACATAGTACATTATCTTCTCTATCTCACGTCTTCCTTATTAATTTTCTCAATTACTTCCGAGTATCATGTGTTTTAGAATTTTTTTTATCTCCCATTAGAAACAAAATACATATAGTTCAATATTTCTAGAGAAATAATCATGTAACATAATAAGTATAAAAAGTTTGTCAATTATTAATCAAATGTTAATAGTGAAACCAATTATACAAGATTCTTATCTTATAATAATGGTAAATTGTACATATGAGAGATTTAGACGAGGCATTTTAGCCTTAAGTCGTAGCCCAAATTGCTCACACTTCCTATTTGATCTTTATCCATGAAATAAAAATGTAAACTAAATTGATCCAAGGATATCTACCGTATCATACATGTTAGAATTAGCCAATATAAGGAATTAAATCGAATATTATTAAGTCTATCTTTATACAATAAATAGAATACATCGTATTGGACAATACAATACAAATCAAATGTAAAAGTATACTTTGCCCCGTTTGGTAGAAATTAAAATTCAGGATTTAATCTAACCCAAAATTAACAATTAATTTTAACCACACATTTTGTAGGATCCACAACTTTATAATCACACATTTCATCAACTTTTATCAAAATCTACTAAAAAACTGATTTTAACCTCAAGCAAACAGAGGCTTACTCTATGTTTGGCTTATGTTTATAAAATTCAAACGACTTTTTATCTACATGTTTCGATAGAACAAGTATGAGAATGTCCAATTTTAAGGGTATGAGCTGAAAAGTGTTCACTCATTTGAATTTAGTGCAAACTTGTCTATTATACCCTTAATGAAAAGCTACATTTTGAAATGGTATTCTCCACATTTTAAATCTCGTTCTTGACATTTGATTTTTTTATCAATTTGTCATGAATTTTGAGAAGTAGCTTCCATGAGAAGTTACATTAAAATAATGATTCTCGACATTTCATATGTCATTCTCAATATTTGAACACCGTTTCATTTGCCTAGAATGACATTTCATTTTGAGCATGACATTTCTCTACATTTAAAAATTTCGTTATCGACATTCTGAATCAATGAAAAACGTAGCATTTATTGCGATTTGAAATGTATACTTTTTGAAATATATATGACAGGTTATGTATCAAAATTTTATTGGCCAATAACAATATTGCAAAAATGTCCATTTTTTTGTCTTAGTGTGGAATTATAAATTGTTAATAAGAATATTTTGGTCTAAATTCTTCCAAATTAGACATTTTGCAATGATGGACTTTTTTGCAAATGACTAGATAAAAATGGACATTTTGCAAATGTCTTAGCAGGGATGGTATGTTTTTTGGCCAAGTATAAATTCTAAATGGGCTCACCCATTCTGTTGTCAAGCCTATTTTGTTGCCTCTCTGCTAAGGTCCAAGCTTCATTTGGATTTGGAGGCCCATATTGATCACCTGTTTGATATTGATTTAAATCAAATTTTAATCTAAATTAAAATCAAACAATTAATTTTAACCACATATTTCATAGATTCTACAACTTTTCAACCACATATTTCAAAAACTTTCATCAAAATCTACTAAACTCTAATTTTAATTCCCACCAAATGAGTTATTAAATTGGCAAAAGACAATTAAGGTGAAGGGTAGGTCATTCAATGGCATGTACATCCATATATATTGCATTGAATTTGAAATAATGACATCTAACCATCAAATAGCACAAGTTTTTGCAACAATATCTACACAATAATGGTTGCAGAAGCAATAGGTAACAATAATGTGCTAGTGAATTCGGATACGTTTGGTACATTATATTGGATAGCAATATATACAAAGATGAATAAAATAATAAACACGATCTTACCGAGCCGAAAGTGGCAATTCAAGAAACTTGTTTATATCCAGAATTTTTTGTTCTTTTAGGTTTATACCGCATTTTATTACATTAGGTTTTGTTTATCCTAATTCTAGGAAATGAAGTTATACAATAGTTCTTTCGCATGTTTTTTATATTATCTATTATGTCTTGTTTATGAAGATGATAAAGAATTCTTCTCTCTATGCTTTTCAATCACTAGTTTAATAACTCTATATAGGGATGGCAACGGAGAGGGTATGGGATGGGTCGGCCGTTCCCACCCTTGTCCCGTCAAATATTTTTGTTATCTTACCACATGCTCATACCCGACTAAAGCAAGACGGGGTGGAATCGGGGTGAGGAGGGGTGGTCATCTACCCCATTTATCGCCCCATTTATTTTTTTCGTTTTTATTTTTTTATTTTTTATGTCATTAGTTAGTAATATTATTACTTGTTTACCAATTTGTTAAACACAACTTATGTTCTCTTTAAAAATGATAATAAATATATTATTTTTGTTTGATAAAAACTTAAATTTGAAATTAAATTTAAACGAGACGAGTAGCGGGGCGGAAACTATGTTTCCGGTACCCGCTTCGGGGCAATGACCATCGCCCCAAACCCGTCCCATTTACCCCGATTAGGCAGGTAACCCCCACCCCATTCGAGGTGGGGTCCCACGGATATCAGGTTGAACCTTTTTTTTTTTCTTTTTTTTTGGCCATCCCTAACTCTATAATGCATTATTAGACTAGCAAAGTGAATGAATTAAAAGTAACACTTGTGAAGTCACTATGCTGATGTTATAGAAACCTATTGTTATGTGAAATTATGCAGCGATAAGTGGGAGTAACTTTCGTATGGAGAGGAAATCACGTGCTTACTTTATTTTTTGATTTTTCTTGATCTTTTTCTGGTAAGTTGAAAAAATAAAATTACTTGCTAACTACTAACAAAAGTAACTCTTGTCATATTTATATTTACAAAAGTAAAAGATTTATTGATTTCGATGAATTCTCTAATCTGATCATACTTCCTCCTTGCATCTCTCTCATATTAGCTGGATGGCATGCATAACTATTTTCTTGTTTCAACGTGTGCATTATCTCGACATTGGATCTTTCAATTAAAAAACGATAATTCTTGTGCATGGATCGAATTAGATTTTGAGAAAAATCATATGTACAGAGGAGTTTTTCACAGAATTCCTACAGAGCAGACCCATGAGGTTGGCCCCACACGGGTCCCACAGATGATAAAAAATTGTCATAAAATGCCGACCTCCCCTCTTTGTGTGTAGTTTGTACAGCCTCTATGAGTCCTCATTCTGTACGTATAATGTAGCTCTTAGATTTTCACTCTTAACTACTCAGATCAAAAAGCTATGCACACAAACATTGTCAAATAATCACACGATTATCATAAATGACCAATATGAATGCATTGTAATATCTTGTTGCTGGCACTTATTATTTTTCCCTTTTCAATTCTACGTACTACATTTATTTATAACTTCATTACTTTCTATTGGTACATCAGCCTTTTCATTTAATATTTGTAACCCAATACTGCA